TATACAGGGCTTTCATCTATTTTGTTAGATTGATTTCCAAACATTTAATTTTTTGAGGATATTTTGGATAGGGAGGTTTCTCTAATTTCTTTTTCAGCGGATTCATCACTGATTTATCAGAATGCATTTGATTTATGTGTTAATTTTGTCTCCTGCAACTTTGCTCAGTTCATCTACTAGTCCCAGAAATTTTCTGATGGAATCTTCTGTACCTTCTAAACAGTTAAGCATGTCATCTGCAAATAGTGATACTTTGAGTTCTTTTTTCCTACTCATATTCATTTAATTTTTTCCTTCTGTCTAATTGCTCGGGCTCAAGTTTCAAGGATGATGTTAAATAAATGTGATAAATGAGGGTTTTCTGACTTGTTTCAGTTTCTAGAGGAAATGCTTTCAATATTTCTTCATTTATAATGAACCAGGCCTTGGGTTTAGCTTATATGACTTTACAATATTGGATTATTTTACTATTCTCCCTAGTTTTTCTAGGGTTTTGAACATGAAAATATGCTGTATTTTGTCAAATGCTTCCTCCACATCAATGGAGATGATCATATGATTCTTGTATTTAAGTCTATTTATTGGATGAATTGCATTGATTGATTTTGACATGTTGATACAACTTGGCATCCCTTGGATGAACTATTCTTGAGCATGGTGCACTGTGTTTTGAATATGTTTTTATATGCCATTTGCTAGAATTTTATTGAGAATATGTGCATCTATATTGATCAGGTATATTTCTTTTAGGGTAGTTTCTCTCTTTGCTGGATTTAACTTACTTTTTACTTCTTCGTTATGAAATCCTGTATTGACTCTGATTTGTACTTCAGGCTTTCTAGTGGTGAATTCTTTTAACTTTTGTTTATTGTGGAATAATTTTAATTTATCTCTATTCTGAATCTTAATTTTGCTGGTCACAGTGTTCTTTTCTGGCCTCCATTTTCTTTCAGATATTGGGTTCTATTGAGTGGTGGGTACTAGGTTTTGATCCCAGTGGTGCCTGAGCAGTGAGCTGGATCCCCAGAACTATTTTGTATTTTATTGAGAGACAGGGCCTCAATGAGTTTCTTAGGGCCTTACTTTTGCTGATGCTGCTTTGAACTCATGATCTTCCTGCTTCAGACTCCTGATCATCTAGGGTTACAAGGATGTGCCCCTGTGGTCTTCTAGATATTGGTATATATAATTGCAAGACCTCCTAGCATTGAGGGTTTACGTTGAGAAATCAGATGGGTTTCCCTCTCAATGGTATGTGTTGCTTTAGTCAGGGAGCCTTGAAATGTTATTGTTAGTCTGCATGTTAATCATTATTATGACATTGTGCTTATTTGTGGGTCTTTTGAAATTTTGTATGTTTGGGGTCCTGGAAGCCTCCTGTATATGATTTTCCATTTCATTCTCTTGGTTTGGAACATTACTTGGTTTATCTCTGTTTCTTTGGGTGTGGAGTTATTGGTCATACCAGGTCAAGACAGATATAATTCTTGGAAGGTCAGTCTAATCTTTGGTGTGTTCAGATACCTACTATGTTTCTGCTGGTTCAGGGAAAATGGTCCCTGATTATCTTTGAGTTAGCAGTTAGATTACTTCCTGTTATGGGGTGCTGTTTTGTGTGTCCTCCTGAAGTAAAGTTCTGATCTGTCAAAGCTACTGTATTTTGTAATGTGTGGGTTGTAGCACTCTAGATTATATGCATAAGTATCCTTAAGCACATTTTCCCATTTCAGTTGCAAATAATTTCCCATCCCTTCCATCCTCCATTTCCTGATCCCTATCTGCTTCTTTTGTGGTCTTTCCTTAATTAAGGAACCTATTTGTTTATTTATTTATTTATTAAATTTATTTATTTATTTATGCATTATACTGGTATATAAAAATGAAATACAGTGCTATATTTTCAAGAATGTGGATAGCTTAATTTGTGAACCATGATTTCATTATTTTTATTCTAGTTTGAATGAATTGAGTTCTTGTATTATAATATAGTTTCATTCTGTATTTACGAATTTCTCAACTTTATTTCTAGTTGCATTCTTCAGCATGAAAATTACTCTATTTTTGTATTTTTTTAGTTGATAGTTGATTTCATGTTTTTTTCTTTGTTTGTTTGGCTCTATGTGGATCACGCAGATATTTATTTGGCATTGTTCACATATCTCACCAATCACCATTTCTTTAGAATTTAAGTCAGGAAATTTATTTAGTTGCCTCCATTTGCCAATTTTCACCATATTCTTTGAATGTTTTTGTTATGTATTTAGAACTTTAGACATTTAAAAAACACATCTGGAGATTTTATTTATACATTTAATAGTAGAACAGTTCTTCAAAAATGAACAACACATCTACTGTAGTGATGAGTAAAACCAGAACTGAGTTTACCAACTAGTTATGAATTCAGAATGTACAAGAGATATCTGCACTCATATGCTTGCTGAATGATTATTCACAATGTGAAATATTGAAATTTTATTTGTAAGTATGTATGATAAATAGGAAATGTATACACACATACAGAGAGAGAGAGAGAGAGAGAGAGAGAGAGTCAGACATACACTGAAACACATAGAATGAAATGATATGCCATTAAAAAAAGTGAATTTTATCATTTATGGTAACATGGACAGACTAAAAGGGTATAATGCTTAGAGAAGAAAAAAGGCAGAAATAAGAAAATATCTCAAGATCTCAAATTTACGTGGAATGTGCTAATAATGCTGTCATGTCATTTTAGAATACATTAGTGGCAAAGCCTATTGGTTTTGATAGTTTGGGAGATTTCACAGAAAGAATATAAAATGGTAGCATCAAAGTAGGAATAAGATGAAGACAGTTGTTTTCCCAGAGCTATCAATACATTTTCAACTTGAAAAATAATAACATAATGAATCTGAAACATTCTATCAAAAAATGCTATGCAAATATTATGATGGGATATATATAATAATTAAATAGATTCATCACTGCACAAGTTCCTTTTGCTTTTGAAAAATCAATCTACACATGGAAAGTGAATATAGTCTGATGTGCCTATTGGAAAACAATTAGTTAACCAAAAATATACCTGTTATAATCTAGAAAATTTCTTTATCCACAGGAAAATGACACCAATCAAAACTAGTAGGGACTTTTGAAACTTTATATCCTGATCTCAAGATGTCTCATTAAAATATTTGTGTCTGTAATTTTTCATTTACAAAGGAGTATATCCCTATTGTAAAAGAGTTTGGATGTCAAATGGGTTCTTTTTCTTGTAAATTTGAAGAATAAAATCCATAGTCACAGGGTGAGAGCATAGTAATAAGACTTAATTAGTGAAACAAAGGAAGAGGAAAAATAAATGTAAGAAGAAAAGAAAAAAGAGAGAGAATAAAAGCTCAAAATGTGGGAGCATTCCCAGGAGATGATTTTCAATAGGTGTGTTTTATCTATAGGTTTTGTAAGCTTGATCTTTCCTTATAGATGATTGATTAAGTATGGAATTCAGAAAGGGGAACATCACCTCTAATTTGCCTCCTTCCACAAGTCTGTAGAAAAGTGATTTCTAAATTACATTGACAAAAGGTAAAAACAGAGGGTCTATTGGCCCAAGAGAATGTACATTGTAGGGTTGGTCATTTCTAGGACCTGGTAAGGGTGATGTCATTGTGCTGATAAACAGCTGCTTCAGGAGCTCGATTTCTCAATCCTCTTTCTTCATTTCTTCTCTGAGACCCTTTTCCTGGATGCCTATTGCTGATCTACCTTTCTTTCTCATTTTGTCTGAATCAACTTCTCCCAATGGAATTCTTTCTGTTCCTTTTACAATCATTTCCTCATTTCTGATCTAACTCAAGACACCTTCCAAAATAAACCCATTTTCTTTGGCACATTGTTCACATATCTCACCAATCACCATTTCTTTAGAATTAAGTCAGGAAATTTATTTAGTTGCCTCCATTTGGCAATTTTCACCAAGTATTCCACAATAAACCCATTTTCTTTTGGCACATTATGTCAGGGACAGATTTTTCAGAAAGCACCCAAGGAGGAAAGAAATTAGATCCATTTTTGGAATTCTCTCTTCATTGTATTCTGCTAATTTTTAGGGTAAGTATCTGTGGTGGAGAAATAGACACAACTCTCCTTCCCTCTTTTTGTGGCTTGTTTGAACTGTTGTCACACGCAGCCTTGAAAATACAATTTATAGAGTATTCAGTAAGGCAATATGTTCAATGCATACATTTTAATATTATATATTTATGGAGGAAGGATGCAGTCAAGGTTTTTATTTTTTCATCTTCCTGGTATTCTCAGGTTGATAGAATTTTACACATTGCATTGGTATGTTCAGGTGAATCCAGTAAGAAGGATAAATTCTAACTTTCGTTTCTTTCATTTATGTCTCCCCTGCAAACTACTGGATGGTTACCAGAGGAGAATACACAAGGTTCATTCCAACAAGTGAGAAATACAAGATATGAAATTAAGAATCTTGAGAATATACAATTCATTAAACAAGAAATTGGGAGAAAGTGTAAAGGGGAGCCAGAATGTCATGGACCTTATCCCTTTGCAGTGGCTCCCTCTGAGAGGACTGGGAGAGAAGATGCACATCAAGAATCTGCTCAAAGTAATGACTTTGTGTCAGGAATTCGTGTGGATTCATTTGCTTCTTGGAGTAAGTATGTAGATCCACTTATGAAACATTCCTTCACTGAGAAAAACAACATAGAAAATCAGCAAGGAAATGTAGATCATGATGCAAAACATCATTTGAAACATTGTGAATTTGGCTTGAATTGTCATTCAAATATTGCTGGAGACAAGAGATTCCAAAATATGAAAAAAATATCTCAATGGGATTTGAGTGATAATTCGTTCATCCAAAGTTCACTATTTCTGCATCAAGACTTCCTTCAGTTCTGTTCCAATGTCTACAGTTTGGATAAAATTCAGAGGGCCAATGTCAACACAGTGATGCTTCAGGAAAGAGAACACATTAGTAATTATGAGAAAATTTGCATCAATGATGAAACTGGCATGGTATTTGCTGATCGATGTAACCTAAGTAAATTGGAGGGAGGTTCTGTGGTACAGGAGAGCCATGAGCACAAGGAATCATGGGAAGACCCTAACCAGGGATCAGATCCACCTAACACACAGAGATCTCCTTTTACACATAACCATGACAAGTGGGAGAAATGGGCAAAAGTCATCAATGAGTGGCCAAAAGCTCTTACCCATCCTAATGTCCAGAGGAAAGACAGATCTTATGAATGTAAGAAATACAGTGAACCATTTAATCAGTTCTCAGTGTGTACAGAGCATGAGAAAATCAATACCACGGAAAAGACCAACACACATACAGGTGAAAAATACAGGGAAAGCCCTGATGAATCATCAAACCAAATTGGACCTAAAACAATATGCACCCAAGAAGATCCATGGAAAATCAAGGAATGTGATGAATCACTTCCACCATGTTTAAATCTTGGACAACAGCAAAACATCCAGAATGAAGAGAAACCTCATGAAATAGAAGATTGTAAAACTTTCTTTAGTAGTTCCTCACATCATGAGGTGCATAAGAGTATCCATGCTGGAGAGAAAACCTACAATTGTAAAGAATGTGGCAAAACCTACATTTCTTCCTCAGAACTGCTTTGTCATCAGAGAATCCACATTGGAGGGAAACATTACAATTCTGAAGAAAGTGGGAAAGCATATATGTGTTCCACACAACTTGTTCATCCAGAGCTACTCCATATTGGAGAGAAACCATACAAATGTAAACATTGTGCAAAGAGCTTTAAATGTACCTCAAGCCATGTTATTCATCAGAGAATCCATACTGGAGAGAAACCTCACAAATGTAATGAGTGTGGCAAACCTTTCATTCGTTCCTCAACCTTAAATGTGCATAAGAGAATACATACAGGAGAGAAATCCTACAAATGTGAAAGTTGTGGAAAGGCTTTTACTCATTTCTCATCTCTTGCTGTGCATCAGAGAATCCATACTGGAGAGAAACCTC